GTGCCCCCCCAAGCCCCCCCAGGTACCCCCCAGGTGCCCCCACCTGGGGCTGCAGCTGGACGCAGCTGGGCCCCCCCGCCGGCTGCACAGGAGCTGCACTGGAGCTGCACGGGAGCTGCTCGCTGCAGGGGAGAGACCCAAAAATTGGGATAAAACACACGAAAATTGGGATAAAACACACGAAAATTGGGATAAAACACACGAAAATTGGGATAAAACACACCAAAATTGGGATAAAACACACGAAAATTGGGATAAAACACCCAAAAATGGGGATAAAACACCCGAAATGGGGAATCCCAATGCTCCCAGTGCTCCCAGTGCTCCCAGTACCGATTCCCAGTGCTCCCAGTGCTCCCAGTACCGATTCCCGGCACTCCCAGTGCTCCCAGTACCGATTCCCGGTGCTCCCAGTGCTCCCAGTACCGATTCCCGGTGCTCCCAGTGCTCCCAGTACCGATTCCCGGCACTCCCAGTGCTCCCAGTACCGATTCCCGGTGCTCCCAGTGCTCCCAGTACCGATTCCCAGTGCTCCCAGTGCTCCCAGTACCGATTCCCGGCTCTCCCAGCGCCCCCCGCTCCCGCTCCCAGTTCTCCCAGTTCCCGTTACCGGCGCCCCCAACGCCCCGGTACCGCCCGGTGCCCGTTACCGGCTCTCCCAGTGCTCCCAGCGCCGCTGCCCGGCGCTCCCAGTTCCTCCCAGTTCCTCCCAGTCACTCCCAGTACCGATCCCCGCCGCTCCCAGCGCCTCCGGTACCGCTCCCCGGTGTCCCCCGCGCCCGGTAACGCTTCCGCCGGTGCCCCCAGTCCCTCCCAGTCCCTCCCAGTTGCTCCCAGTTGCTCCCAGTCCCGACCCCCGCTCACCCCGTGCCGGCGGCCGCGGCCGGTCCGGGCCCTCCCGGTGGCGGCGGGGCCCGGAGCCGCCGGTCCCGGCGAGAGGCGCCGCCCCCCATGGGCGCGGCCCCGCCCCTCCCGGTAACGGCGGCACCGGGAGGCGGCCCCGGCACCCCGCGGGCGGCACCGGCGGCGCGCGGGGCCCGGTAACGACCGGTAACGACCGGGGCTCCTCCCAGTGCCCCAGTCCCCATTGCCGGTACCGACTCCCGGTGCCGCTCTCCCCATTCCCGGCTCCCCGGTGCCGGTTCCCGGTCCCCATCCCATTCCCGGTGGCATTCCCGGTGCCCATTCCCACCGCCGCTCTCCCCATTCCCGGCTCTCCGTTGCTGGTTCCCCGTGCCATTCCCGGTGACATTCCCGGTACCGATTCCCGGTGCCACTCTCCCCATTCCCGGCTCCCCGGTACCGA